GCTGGAAGTTGAAACAAGACAAATTCAGACTCAAATAAGCATGAATTTTTAACAGTCATGGTAACTGACCATTGGAACAACTTACAAAGAGTTGTGGTGGATTCTCCATCACTGGCAATTTTTAAATCAAGATTGTACTTTTAAAAAATATTCTCCAGTTCAAACAGGAATTAAATCAGGGAAATTCCAATCCCTATGTTATAGAGGTGGTCAGACTAGATGATCACAATAGTCCCTTCTGGCTTTGGAATCTATTATATATGCATGTAGCTGCAATATCAAAAAGCTTCACATATTTGAGAATCAATCAGTAACTCAGAAGCATCTTTCAATTTTCTAATTAAAAAAAAAATCTCTATCCTCTCTCCCTCTTGGTGCAAAGCATCCTTGTATTTACTGCTACAGGAAGAGTGTCAAATCCTACAAATTTTCATTTAAGATCAGAAGTACGATCAGTCACAATTTTAAGGACAACTGCAATGTATTCACATTTATAGCCTCTAAGGATCCAAAGCACACTGACTTCTTCTCTGGCTCTTAATTTAGTTTGTTTTCCTTTGCGGCTGACACAATTTAAAATGGTAAAATTCATGCTGGTGAAAGCTCACTTCAAATTTTTGCACATTCATACTTCAAAATGTATGGAAATCCAAAATGTGACTGATCAGTAAAATACTTAGTTTTAAGTGGCATTGGCGGATTCTGAAGCTGAGGTATGTACACTCAATCACCCTTTATTCATCCATTTGTCAATACTTTGGTTAAGCAGGTTCAAGTATCATTAATTCCTTATAATTTATACAGTGATAAGTATGTTCAGTGCTGTGTAACAGTTGAACTTTGCCCCCAAAATTAATTTTGGTAACTTGCTCATTCTCTTTTACAAATTACATGCAGAACTGTTGCTGATGTTAAACTTACATTGTAACACACATTCTTCTTTCTCTTCCACTTTCCTAATCAAGAAAACTATTCCCTCATATCTTGAAAAATTTACATTGCAGCTAAGGAAGTTACAAGACTGCCTTTTTCCCCTCTGGTTAGTGACTTGGTAGGGAGTTGTAAGACTGAAATTGGAGATTGTGTATATTACTACCCAGATCTGAAAACTACTATGACTGAGAACTCTTTTCCTTGAGGACGGGGTTGAGAAGGGATGCAGTGAGGTCACAGGGAGAACTCATGCTGAGGCTGTGAGTGTAATGGGATAAAGAAGACAGAAGAGGGGGTCAGGGTCACAGTGTCAGAGTCCCCATGTAATTCAAGACGTTCATCTTACTTATTTCAATACTGCAACCACTAAATAACCCTCTCACCTTACCCTAACATTTTTTTCAAGATATACCAAAGGTAGTGTGGTGCTTTAGAGGTAACGAGGCAACATCTTGTAGAGGAATTCGTGCACCAATCAGCTCATTTTGTTATGTTAGATGATGTGTCCAAAATATTTTCTGAGTATAGGAAAATGAAGACACTTCAGTTTGAATTCAGTGACCCTTATTAGTTTGTTATCAATACAGAAAATGAGTTAATCAATGGTTACAGGAATGGTGCATCACTGGAAACCCTTTGAACAAAATTCATGGCATGCAACATATTAATATGATTCGCATTATGGGAAAGTGAAAATATTAGTCACTAGAATAAATTTCAATAAGAAAGTTAAATTAAAGATTAAATTTTTCAGGGATATGCACTTCTTTAAATAACAAAGTACGATATAGCTAGCAATATGAAGATATATTTCTCCCATCTCTATATCGTAAAACAACAGTGTGTAAAGTACAGCTGCAAACTGACAGATCACATAGTCCATAAGGCAAAACAGGAAGATTAGTTTCAACCAGTCCTTTGAACTAGGTAACAACGGACTGCATTTCAGAAACATTGTTTTGACCCCTGAACTTAAAGTAGGGTGCAAGTCCATTTCACAGGTGAAATGTTCCTTGATTTTATATGGATTTTTTACAGTCATTTTAAAAAAAATCTTTTCACAAAGTTCAACAGCAAGGCCCAATTTGACTGGCTACATGCAGGTTGCTTAAAGTCAGAAGAGATGGCACTGAGAGCTGCACAAAACTTTGTAACAAAATCTAGTTCAAATTTACTGAATTCACAGTGGATGCACTGGTTCTGTTGGCAACATACTGGGCACTGTGCAACACTTGTGATTTCCCTGTGAATGTATTCATTTTAGTGAAATAAAATACTCTAGTTGGAAAAGTTGAATATGCATCTCTGGGGGCTATGAGCTAAAACAAACTAAAGAGATTAATCAAGTTATTCTCCCATATGTTTAAGACAGTCTGATATATTAACAAATTTAAAAAATATAAATACATTTTAGGATATTTTAAGTGTGAAAGTATTTTCCTCTCAAGGACCTCAAACTATATAGTTAATTTTACCCTAGAAAGCATGGCAGAAGTTTAAACTGATGGAAAATATACTACTTTTAATTGCACTTTCAGTGGGTATAGTGCTGACATCACTGGCAATCCTGGTGCTCCAAGAGGACTTGATTTAGCCATGGTTATGCAGCCAATAATCATACTAGTGAGCCACACTCTCATTGGATTTTTATTACAGGAGAGAAGGTCACACAAGCAGTCACCTGATGGGAATCTTGCTGTTGTGCATGTTGCTGTGAGATCAACTGACAGGGGATGATAAAGCAGACAGCAATCTTCCATGTCACTTCCCCTACCACATCACCCAACTGAGTCAATTCCACATTGTGTAGAACAGCCTTAGTGATATATTATGAAAGAGGCTGTTTACCCCCTTTACCACTTCCTGAAATTTTCTAGGATACTTCAGAACCTTTTAAAATTCTCCCCTTGCCTAAATCACAGCAATATATCCATATAGGTACAAAAATATTTGTTCATGCTAATAATTTATTTCAGTTCAAACATTTAATTTTGTACGGTAAACAAAAGAAAGCTAACACTGATTTATTTTTTTGCAGAAGACTTAGCTCATCATTTAACTTCCTTACTTTTATTATCTTAATTCATTTGAAGAAAATATTATACTAATTTGTCTTGAGAAGTACATGTTCCTTTCCATGTTCTCTAGAAAACGTTTTGTGGAGACTACATAATAAGAGGTAAACACACCACAAGCTTTTACCTAAACCAATCATTGAAGTGATGGAAAAATGCTACTGTGAATTGAACCTGCCCAATTTGTTCAGACCCAAAGTTGATTTAATGTTGTACATTACTGTGTGATGCAAATAAACACAACAGAAGTATATAAGAACATGAGAATGGCCATACCGGGTCAGATCAAAGGTCTCTCTGGCCAGTATCCTGTCTTCCGACAGTGGCCAGTGCCAGGTGCCCCAGAGGGAATGAACAGAACAGATTAACATCAAGTGATCCATGCCCTGTTGCTCATTCCCAGCTTCTGGCAAACAGAGGGTAGGGACACCATCCCTGGGCATCCTGGCTAATAGCCATTGATGGACCTATCCTCCATGAATTTGTCCAATTCTTTTTTAAACCCTGTTATAGTCTTGGCCTTCACAATATCCTCTGGAAAAGAGTTCCACAGGTTGACTGTGCACTGTGTGAAGAAATACTTCCTTTTGTTTGTTTTAAACCTGCTGCCTATTACTTTCAATTGGTGACCCCGAGTTCTTGGGTTATGCGAAGGAATAAACAACACTTCTTTAATTTACTTTCTCCACGCCAGACCTCTATCATATCCCCCCTTAGTCATCTCTTTTCCAAGCTGAAAAGTCCCAGGCTTATTAATCTCTCCTTATACGGAAACCGTTCCATACACCTAATAATTTTTGTTGTCCTTTTCTGAACCTTTTCCAATTCCAGTATATCTTTTTTTGAGATGGGGCGACCACATCTGCACGCAGTATTCATGGATTTATATAGAGGAAATATGATATTTTCTGTCTTATTATCTATCCCTTTCTTAAAGATTCCCAACTTTTTGACTGCTGCTGCACACTGAGTGGATGTTTTTCAGAGAAATATCCACAATGACTCCAAGATCTCTTTCTTGAGTGGTAACAGCTAATTTGGTTCCCATCATTTTATATATATAGTTGCGATTATGTTTTCCAATGTGCATGACTTTGCATTTATCAATATTGAGTAGCGCTAGGCTTCAAAGGAGTTCTGTTCCAGCATTCAGAATCCTTTATTGTTTATGCTGCTAGAATCTAGCAAACCACTTCCTGCTGTTGACACAATCGAGTAACTTTGGAATGAGTGGTTATAAATACAGTCAGAGCAGGAGATACTAATCAGATGTACTCTAAATCCTCATTTGAAGATGAAATAATTTCTTGAATGGACACTGTGTAATTACGCTGCCATGTGTGGGGTCAGTATGATTGACTCTGGCAGCTCTCAATTCAATCTCATACTTGTCTTTCACTTGATATTAAAAAAATTAAAGCCTTCTTCAAATCAACCCTCCCCTATGACTATCCACAAGTCACTGAGCTCTTATTTATGTATATTTACTAGCATCTCTCAATTTGAATAAAAAAACACACCCAGCTCTCCAATACCTGTCACCATGACAGACAGATTTAAACAAAAAGAAAAGGAGTACTTGTGGCACCTTAGAGACTAACAAATTTATTTGGGCATGAGCTTTCGTGAGCTACAGCTCACTTCATTGGATGCAACAAGTGTACTTTCAACACTTGAGTCCATGCTGACTAGCTTCTTCCAGTTCTCCAGTTGTTCACAAGGACAAGACTCTGGAGAACACAGACTACTGAAATGAGCTTTACTTATTTTGTCTAAATTCTGCTTACTCCTGGAACAGTATTCTCCTGGTGAAACACCAAAACATAAGAAGTGGCAACTGATTACACGGTAAGTTATCCAGGTGAGTCAAAATATTTTGCTGCCAATATAACTGGGCACAAGTACAAATACTGCCTAACAGAAATACCATATTTCATTTGGTCTGAAGCAAGCAAAACATCCCTTTTTCTTGGAGGGGGAAAAACCTCTTACCTTTCGTAGCTATTCGAACACACTGAGTTTTAGTTTCCTGTTGAGGGGGAAAAATTAAAGAAAATATAGTCAATTTCATATTTCAATTTCTCCCACTTCACAAACAGTATTAGTACTATAGATTAGTATTGCATAGGATACTGAACAGCTCTAGAAATATTAGTGGAGACTGAGGAGTAAACGAATTTTGTCTCTACAGAGCTGGTAATCTGAGTAAAATTGTTAACCAAGTCCTAAACTCTCTAGATTTATAGGTATTTTACCACAAAAGGACTTGCACATATTTTATTTATATATACACACAAATTGTATTTATTTTTTTCCACCAGTGGTTCATGCAGTGCATGAGATCACTCAAAAGTCAGAGAAATGAATTGGTTATACACACTGGGTAAGAGGCAGTTTCAATCTTAACTGAATTTCTTGGCCTTCTTGTGTAATCTCTCTCTTTAAGTGTAATAAGACATTGCCTTCAGGATTCCTTCTTTCTTTTCTAGACGCCTCTCACACCCCCAAAAAACCCACAAACAAACACAAGCACACACAAGAATTATTCAACTCAGAATGCCTAAGCCAACTGCTTTGAAAAGCTGTGATGTAGAAATTAATAAAGAGAGGTCCTGAGCTAAAAATTTACATGACATGTTTCAATCAAGAGGCATTTTTCAACTCAGATAAAAGCTCCACTGAGCTGATATTGGAAATGTCAATATAACCTTAACTAAGGAGCATCTTCTTTAGGTATTGCTAATGTATCTGCATTTAAACTCTCTGCAGCAACCATTGTGTAATGTAGGCCCCAACCCAGAAGAGCACTTTCGCACGCACCTAATTTTAAGCATGTGAGTAATCGCACTGATTTAAAGTTGAGCACGTGCTGAAATATTTTGCAGGGTCAGGGTCACAGGGTACAATGGTATTCTATGTATGTTGTGGTAAAACTGAGAGATACCAGCAACTGGAAACAAAACTAATGAAAACTGTGAGCCCAAATCTGTCCCAAGCTTTTATATCATACCAGAGAAGACCATTTCACAAACACACAGAGCCTCTCTCAAACTGAAGATCAAATTTTTGAAAAAATAGTCTCTCTCACCCCTTTTGGTCATAAACTGTCAAAATACAGAAACTGAAACATGGATCTGTTTGGGGTTTTTTTTGTTTGTATTGGTTCTGTTTATATTTTTCAATCATTACATACTGGATGAAATATCAGTTTCCTCAAGAACCTAGTTTAGTTGTTGGAAGCCAACAAAGCTGTTAGATGGGTGAATGGAGAAGGTGAGGGAAATGTGTATGAATGTGTGACAGTTAGCTTTCCTTTCTTTTTGTTTGCCTCGATTAAGTCTAGCAAGAGAAAAGGCTGTCTCGTCAGAAAATTCCTCCAGCTCCAGAGTAGCTCCAGTGTGCAATTTCATTAGATATTGAATTTGTTTCTACCCTTATATGATGAAGGGGCAATTTTCATAATTATAGGTATAGGTGAGACTTCATTCAAAAGACTCAATGGCAGATTTAGTCAATAGCCATGATTTCTTTATTATTAGCCACAGCAGAAATCCAAATAGAAAGGTACAAATGGTTTCTACTTCTTTCAGAAGGACCTGGTGAAGATCATTTGCCTTTAATCTAGCTGCATATCCCGGCAATTTCCCTTAATCCCCCTGCACAGCTGATACAGGGGCTCTATACCCAGAATGTAGCAATTTCCTACAGAACTATACTTATCTAAAATGTAATTCATAAATTGAATATTTAAATACCTCAAGTTACTGTGCTGAATACAGTCCCCCACACCCATAGTTCAGTTTACAAAAGAAAATCATTCAATGATAACAGCATGAGGTTTGAAAAGTCATGTTGTTTTTCACACCTGGAACCCTCTTCCTGTCATTTTGTTCTTTTCAATATACATACAGAATCAGCAGCAGTGCTCAACAACTGAGTCAAAAAATGAAGTAAGGAGGCAATGGAAGCAATCCAAAGCCATACCCTTAACTACTGCACAGTAGTCAAACAATCAAAGCAGAGTGGTGTATAAAGATGCTCAGAAACATACCATGGGCCTGGGGTTACTTCACAATCAGTGGATTTTTACTTTTTATTTGATGTTTGGTGTAAGAATCCTGAAAAGTTGACACTGTTTTACTAACCTGCTGAACAAAGTAAGTTCTCTTTGTGCTGCAGTAATTTAATCTTGTGAAGTGTGCAAGTATTGAGCATTAGGAGAAGAATAATGGATGTTATTTACGGAGGAGGCAGAATCACACAGCTGAAATTATTTCACTCAAACTATTACTGAGATTTATTAAATTCTCAGCTAGTAACAGTTACTAAGAAGCAGGCGTAGTGTGAAATATGAATGGCTCAAAGCCATACTGTTACAGTACAGAAGCTAGTGAAAGGTTAAAACAGCACCATCACCAACACAAACTACATCTAACTTTGAGATTCATCACCAAGGATACCTTCTGAGCTATTTCCAACAGGAAAATATGGTCGGTACTTACCTTCTCAACACTGCTCATGGCTTGGAAATAGATATTGTAGCCTTTCCGAGGAGCCAGGGGTGGGTTCCAAAAGCCTTGGTACGTTCTATTGTCACCAACAGTGAAAGGGGCTGGTTCAGGAAGGTTACCAGGGGGCAATTCAGCAGCAAAGTAATATGGTGAGCCTCCGCTTAGAGCATTTTGGTACGTGACTGGGACTTGGTAGCACTCCATCGTGCCTGTTTCTCGCTTTGTTCGGTGTGGATGCAGCTCCTCAACAACAATCTGGTAAGCACTTTTTAAAGAGAGAAAAAATGATCAGGTAATCTGTGATTCTCAAATCTCACACTGCACAAAAACATGATGCCAAATGGCACTGTGGTCAGTTTAAAAAGACAGTGGATGCAAAAAGAGAAACAAAAGCTTGGAAAAGTTATGCTGAGGCTATGCAACTCAGGCATCAAATGCTACTCTACTGTTATGCATTTTTTTAAAAAAATAAACCACTTTCAGCCCTAGCCTAGAGCAGAAAAACGATGTTCACTGATTTTATTTTATACATACAATTATTTTATTTCTTCTTACTCTTTCAATACTGTTTCTTTCAACATATTTCTAAAGATACAAAGGAACAAACCAAACCAGAAAATGCCTCTCACCACTCAATTTTTTTGTTATTAAGTAACCCATGAATGACTCTGACATTAACTACAGACACTGTAATAGATTAAGCTCTTTGATATTCTGAAGCATTTGAAGTTATCATTTCAAAGGAAAATGCTATTATAGAAAGCTCGGCTTCAAGGCCCAACATAATGACTGCCTCCAGGCTGTGCTTGAAGCACCAATTTGCAGTTGTCATATCATTAGAGACAGAATGTGCTGACAGGCTTCTCCACCTCTTGACCTTGCTATGGCATCTATCTTGGCTCAGAGCTATGCAGATCTAAAATACAAGTGACATGCTGTAATACAAGCACAGATGGACAGAAATCTGTCCACTCCACCAAAATAGACTGCCTCATTTCTCTGCAGTTGTCAACGATAAAATGTTACAAATTGCTGAAGCAGATGGCATTCAGCCTATTAAGACTCCAACCCAAACTTGCCAATACCTTTCTTGAAATGGTCCAAAGCTTGGTCACTTTTCAAAATCACCTTCTCTAAAGAGAACAGGTAATTATAATTCTTCTTTCCCTGTTGGGGAACTACATAACTACCGTACATTGCCAGCTCATTACCAGCATGTAATGTTCTGCCGAAGCAGAATGTTTTCTTTAAAGGAAGAACAGAGGTGAGTTCTTATGCTGGGGGAAAAAAAAGTGGATGGGGAAGGGGGGAGGGATCTCTCATACCCTAGAGCTTGAAAAATGCTCACTCAATTGTAGGCAAGATTAGAAACAGTTGAATTAACTTGAAAAGATTGTCAGTTTCATTTCTGCTTAAAAGCCTTCCAAACAGGAGGAGTGAAACTGACCAGAGTTTTGGAAGTGTCACTCTGCTGCTTCACATTCTCTGCAGCTCCTTTCTTGTGAGCTGCCAACAGACTGGAATTGACAAGTATTCTGCTCTCTGAAGTGCCAGGGGAGCAGAAAACTTGTCAATTGCAATATCCTGCCAGCTTACACAAATAAAGCCAGCAGGGAGAGTGGAAGGACATCTCAATGTGCACATGTGACTGCAAGAAAACTATCTCCTGGAATATACTGTTGTGTCATTCAGCTCAAAAGCAGAGTTTTTAACATAGTTTCATATCAGTCCTAGAGTGAGGGTGTCAATAGTTTATTCAGCTTCAAAAGAATATTGTCTTTTTATTAGCCAAAAATATGACTGTGGGAGTGAAGTAGAAGAGATACATATTAGCCAATTCAACTTTAACAGTGTCCATTTAATTCACTGCAACAACTTTTGATATTTTGCATCAAAATATACTGCAAAATGTGAAGCATGTCATCTGAGTCAGGCTTGGATTTTCAGAAAATCAGTTTCAAATTCTAATAAATTAAAAATCACCTTCTCCTCCCCAAAAAGTGATTATGATGAAACTGATTTTGCGGGCCACTGTGGCTTAAAAACTACAAACTGTAGAAGGAAGGTCAGAAACATGTACACGGAATCTGTTGGGATGCTTGGGGTTACATAATGATTTTTTACAGTTAAGAAGAAAAAAAAATTAGCATTATTTCTCTTAAGTGCATTTAGGTGCCATAATTAGCAGACAAAGAAAAAATTTTAAATTGGTTATTTCCATTCTTCAACTCCAGATTTTTTTATCCCTCTTGTCAATAATTTTAAAAGGCTTGTGCATACTGTCTTTTGAAATATTCTCCAAATGCAAAACTGAAGGCTCAAAAGGCATATGGAAATTTAAATAGTCCAGTCAGGGCCATTAAGATGCCATCCTTACATCACATCCTTTACCAAAACTATCCCTCCCAGAACACACATCACTACACCAAACATCCACAAATAATATTGTTAAGGGAGAGTACCTTGGTAAAGGGGTGTATGGGGAAGATCCATAAGGTTGCAGTGTCTGGACTGAGGTGTAAAGAGGTTGTAATAATGGTATAGCGTGGTCCAGTGGGTGGAGGAGTACAGGGTATGTATGGTTGGGAGACTTAACTTTTCATTTTCTTGCTTTTGAGTGTTTGAGTCAAGCATGTTATTTGAGCAGCAGCCCTAACTGCTTCACAACTAAGGTTTTTTGGCATATTCATTAATATATAGGTGAGACCCCATACCCTAAGAGGGCACTTACATGGGCCACTGTCTAGAGTTGAAGAAATCTGTATGATGCAAGTCATATTCTCTTCATCTTGCTGGCAGCCAGCACACAAAGGGAGGAGAAAATGAGAGAAAGAGATAAATAGGAGAATAAATGAAGTTTGGAAGTAATGAAGGACAATAACCAGCACAGAAAGAGGGGGAATAAACAGGATTTGGGCTATTCTAAAGAGAGAGATAGTGCTGAGTAGATTGCCCAAAAGCTCTGAGATTGTTGGCAATGAGAGCTGGGAAGGTAAGCGGAGAGAGAGACCTGAGAGAAAGGGGCAATGTAGCTCTTCTGCTGAGCTTTGGCATATAGAGACCCTTTTTCTTATTTCAAACTGACCTAATTAACCAAAATGCCACAGAACGTACAAGTAAGTAAGGAGCAAGTTAAGGGGCTCAATGCCTGCCACTCTGCCAGCGGACCTCAAACCTCACCCAAAACCAACCCTCAGCTAGGTGCGCATAAATACTGTCCACACTTGGGCCATATCTCAACACAGATTTAACATGTGCTATGTAACCCATTTTAAAAGTCTAGTGTAGACAAGGCACATGATTCCTTTAATATGTGCTAAACGGGTCAAGTTACAACCTAGGCCTTACTAGGTTTCACTGGTAGTCTGGCTCATTACTAACCTAAGTTGTAATTGCTGCCTTATTATTTCCTTCTGTGGTCCATATTGTTGGACTCATGGTGTAATAAAAGCAGCCAGAGGGATAGAAACACATTTCCAATTACGAAAACACCCCTGAAATGTATCTAACGTGTGTCTGAAATAGATTATTTATAATACATGTGGCTATATCACGGTTTTACTGGCTGTGTTTAGGATGCCCTGAAGAAAGAGACTATAAGTCACTTAATATGGACCACTGAAAGGTAATCACTTTTAACTGCTACTGACTGGGATCTGAATCACTAGTCTGGTGATGAAAAACTACATGTAACGAATTCTGAATCATGCAGTCCCCTCCCCTTTTGCAATTCTTGTCTACAGTTGGTTTAAAACTTCTGGAGGCCATAAAGAAAGCTAGAGACTATGAGATAACACTTGACCAGCAAGACATGATTACAGCTGTAACTACCACAGCATGTTGCGTTTTAAGAAGTGATTGACAGCTACCTGTAGATTTGAGTTGGATTAAGGAACATCTGTTTCCTGAGGGCTATGGCAGAGACAAAAGTACAGTAAAACCTAATCTTAGTGAAGTTTTGTCCGTGTTTTTAGAGGCAAATAACAACAGAATTAGTGGAGGTATACAATGAACAATAGGTCTCTATTGGTTGGAAGTAATGAGGACACTAAAGAGATGATTAAATATAATTATTTCTTGACCATCTGTGGATGCCTGGTTTGGAAGAAAAATGAACAGCACACTGCTCAATAAGCTAGCCAGCACTGTCCTCTTTGAAGCTGGGAACCAAGAGTTTAGCTCTTATCCTGCACAGTGAGAGCACGTAAGTAGGGTGCAGCAAGGGAAGTGTTAATCATCTTTTAACATCTACCTAGTAATGCTCATTATGACAGTGAAATATGCTTATGGTGCAAACAGAACATCAATGTCAATGTAAGCAGAGTGAAGCTTCACTAAAACTGGTAGTAAATTTCACTGAAATCATAGAAGATTAGGGTTGGAAGAGACCTCAGGCGGTCATCTAGTCCAACGCTCTGCTCCAATCCCCGACTAAATCATCCCAGCCAGGACTTTGTCAAGCCTGACCTTAAGAACCTCAAAGGAAGGAGATTCCACCACCTCCCTAGCTAACCCATTCCAGTGCTTCATCACCCCCCTAGTGAAAAAGTTTTTCCTAATATCCAACCTAAACCTCCCCCACTGCAACTTGAGACCATTACTCCTCGTTCTGTCCTCTGCTACCACTGAGAACAATCTAGATCCATCCTCTTTGGAACCCCCTTTCAGGTAGTTGAAAGCAGCTATCAAATCCCCCCTCATTCTTCTCTTCTGCAGACTAAATAATCCCAGTTCCCTCAGCCTTTCCTCATAAGTCATGTGTTCCAGTCCCCTAATAATTTTTGTTGCCCTCCTCTGGACTCTTTCCAATTTTTCCACATCCTTCTTGTAGTGTGGGGCCCAAAACTGGACACAGTACTCCAGATGAGGCCTCACCAATGCAGAATAGAAGGGAATGATCACGTCCCTCAATCTGCTGGCAATGCTCCTATTTATACAGCCCAAAATGCCGTTAGCCTTCTTAGCAACAAGGGCACACCGTTGACTCATATCCAGCTTCTCGTCCACTGTAACCCGTAGGTCCTTTTCTGCAGAACTGCTGCCTAGCTGCTTGGTCCCTAGTCTGTAGCGGTGCATGGGATTCTTCTACATGGGATTCTAAATGCACTTGTCCTTGTTGAATCTCATGAGATTTCTTTTAGCCCAATCCTCTAATTTGTCTAGGTCCTTCTGTATCCTATCCCTACCCTCCAGCGTATCTACCACTCCTCCCAGTTTAGTGTCATCTGCAAACTTGCTGAGGGTGCAATCCACGCCATCCTCCAG